GAGTCCCCAACAGCCTCTGAGGAGCCCCCCTCCCCCGGGAGCCCTTGGTGCCCACCCTGAAACACTCCGGCGTCTGCCTGGGCACCAGAAGGGGAGGGTGATGCCTCCTTCGCCCTCCCCCCTCCCCCTGCACTCTCCTGCCTTTTGCCCTATTCATGATGCAGAACGGCTGCTGGAGCCTCCGTGGCCACTAAGTGGGGCAGGAGCCCCGAAGCCCTGGCCGCCTGCAGACGCCCCGGGTAGCCTCCTGCCCGGAGCAGCTCAGGGTCCTCCCAGCCCCACTCGACCGGCAGCCTCTTCCTTCTCACATCTCCCGCTCTTGGTACAGGAAGTCCTCGACTTACACCCACAATCGGACTGCACATTTCTGCTCTTGAGTGAGTTTTGCCCCACTTAATGACTTTTCTTGTCCCCTTTACTAAGTGAGTCCCTGCAGTTGTTAAGTGAGTCAATGCTTCTTCCCTGCATACTCCGCTCATAAGATGAGCCCCCCCCCCAGGACACGGCGATCGTCATAACTGTGAGTCTGTTGCCAAGCATCCCAATTCTGATCAGGGGACCACGGGGAGGGTGCCACGGTCATAAGTGTGAAAAACGGCCCTAAGTCACCTTTTCAGGGCTGTTGGAACTGCAGTCACTAAGTGAACTATTGTAAGTCGAGGACTCCCTGCATAAGAGCCTCTCGGCTCCCCATCCAAGCACTGGGTGCGCCTTTCAGCACCCCCCCACCCCCCTTCTGAGAACAAAGCTGCTCCCCCCCCCCCGGCTGCAGCTCTCAGCCTGGATTCCGCTGCCCCAGGCAAGCCCAGCGGGGGGGGGGGGGCAGAGGCAGAGCCTCACCTGGGTGCTTGTGACTGTCAAATTGAGGGTGGTGGGACGAAGCTTCTGGGGGTCCTCAGGGGTGGGCGAAGGTATCAGCGACCCCGAAGGGGAGGGGAGGGCCTCTTCCAGCTCCTCCTCCTCGTCTTCATTGTCATCGATCATCTCAAACTCCTGGAAGTCTTCCTGGAAGGTGGAGATGGGGTGGGGCTGCTCCCCCCTCCCCAGCCCCAGGCAGTCCTGGGGGGAAGCAAAGGAGGAGCTCAAGGGCCCTGCAGGGACTCTCTCCACTGGGCTGGGCCCCCCCTCCCTCAGGAAGGCCGACTGGCAGCATTCATGCCCCCCCATTCAGAAGACCCTTTGCAAGCTCCCCCCCCCCATCTGACTCATGTTCTTAGGGGCATCCAGACAGGTGAGGAGGAAAGGTTTGCCCTGCGCTGGCAGAGGCTGCTGAGGGCGTCTTATGGTGAGCAGCCCCCTCCCCACAAGCAGAGGGGCTCAAGCCCCAAACCCTCCACAGCCCCTCCTGCCAGGTGGAGGACTGGCCTTGCCAAGAGCTGCGCAGCCCAGTTCCTCCTGGAGGCTGCCTCTAGGTTGGGGGGCTTCAGAGGGGGCAGAAAAGGCAGAAAAGAGGAAGGGGTGGCTCATTCAGGAGTCTCATTCCTGGGGAGGGAAAGCCCCCTCCCTCTCCTTTGGATGGAAGGCTCAGCAGCAACCCAGGAGGAGGAGGAGGAGGAGGGAGTGGGCCTGGGGGGGGGCATCCTAACCCTCCCAGCAGAGACTGGACAACGGGGCCAATCGGTGGGTTTGGTGCCCAAAGACCAAGAAGGACCCCGGCTTCCCCCAAGAGCAGTAACAGCCCCAAAACTGTTGCAGCCATGGGGAGGCATGGGAGGAAGAACCCAGCTCTCCTCACCCCCCCTCCCCCTCGAAGAAGGACCCAGCAGGAGCCCCCACCTTCCTTGGAGAGCCCCGGGAATTGCATTCCCCCCTTCCCTGCATGGGGGGGGGAGGTCCTGCTCATCACTGCCTGACAGGCTGCTTTTTCAGGCAAGCAAAGGGGAACTCCG